CACACGCACACACACACACACACACACACACACAGGTCTTTGTGCAGTCAGTAAATGAGTGTAAATAAGTGTTTGTGCTCACAGTGAATGCTGAAGAATGGACTGTCTGTGAGTCTGAGTGTAACTCAAACACTGATCCATTCATCAGCAACACTGAGCCTCTGTTTACCCTGACGACCGGCTGCCGTGGAGACGAGCTGCTGTTGTTCAGGTACAAACACACCTGCTGTAACGAACTGTCTCTGATTTGAATGCACACCTGCTGATGCTTTCACGTCTATTGTTGCTGTAAATATTATTTACATCTGGTCACATGACTCGCATCACACGGTCAGTTCCAGCGCTGTGAATGAGTTTGAGATAAAACTTCAAAAGTTTGAGGTTGCTGAGATTTTTTATTATTTTGAAAGAGTCTCTTCTGCTCACCACGGCTGCATTCATTTGATCAAAAATACAGTAAAAATTGTGAAATATTATTCTAATTAAAAAAAAGTGTTCTCTGTGAATATCTGTTAAACTGTAATGTATTTCTGTGATGCGCAGCTGTATTTTCAGCATCATTCCTCCAGTCTTCAGTGTCACATGATCTTCAGAAATCAGTATAATATGCTGATCTGCTGCTCGAGAAACATTTCTGATTATTATCAATGCTGAAAACAGTCGTGCTGCACAATATTTCTGTGGAAACTGTGATACATTTTATTTTTCAGGATTCACAGATGAACAGAAAGTTCAAAAGAACAGCATTTATTTGAAATTATTATTATTATATATTTACTTGAAATAATTGAAATCTCTTGTAACATTATAAATGTCTTTACTGGCACTTCTGATTAGTTTAATGCGTCCTTGATTAAATAATAAATTTCTTATAAAAAAAAAGCCAAACTTTTGACTGGTAGTGTGTTATTTTTCTCTTGGCGAGTGTAAGTTTGGACAGAGAGGATTTTAACTGATGATGATGATGATGAAGGGCTGTGTGTGCAGGAATACAGTCACAGTCTAGTGTTGGTTTTCTCTCACGCTATCTATGCTGGAAAACCCCTCCAGCTGTGACATCACATCCTGTTTCCTCTCTCCTGTTTTTGGCACAGGATACGGGAGTATCTTTTTGAGGTCCCCATGAGGAAACAAGCTTATAAATCATACAGAATTAGTTTTTTGGAGAAAGTACAAATGCAGAAAGTCTCCTGTGAGAGGTATGTTTAGGGGTAGGGTTGGTGTAGGGCAATAGAATATACGCTCTGTATGGACCCCATTGACTTTCATTATAGGGACAGAAAACGCTATTTTTTCTTAGTGTTGTAAGAAACACTACTGTCTACAGACTTTTCTCCCAATATCTCCTTTTGTGTTCCACTGAATACAGAAAGTCATATAGGGTTGTCTGTGTGTGTGTGTGTGTGTTTGGGTGTATTTTTGTGTGTGTGTGTGTCGCTGTTTGACTCTTGTTTACAGGCAGACGTCCTGCTGACTGTGATTTTGAACCCATGCAGTTTAACACGGAGATAAACAGCGCTTTGAGACGTAGAAACAAACGTTTGGTTTGACTTAAATTAGGAAAAAAACTAAATATTTTCATAGGGTCCTGAAAATGTAATTTTTGTTAAACTTTTAATGAACTGTTTCACAATTTAATTAATAAAGCTTGCTTTTTAATTATTAAATACAAATTTGAATCAAAATCTGAATAGAATCCAGAAAAAAATTCAATTGGAATTTAGGGAAAAAATTCATTTGGGAGAAAATAAAACATTTTATAAGACCCCTAATATGCTAACGAGCCGCTATGTATAATTTACCCCTAAGCTAAGCTAATCAAACACCATCCTGATTGAGCTTCAGTCACTTCTCTGATCTGCTGAGGAAAACAAATCAGGGAAAAATCGTGCTTAATGTGCCTGTTTGTAGGCTTGCACAATTTTGGCCAGAATTTTGAGAAAAATAATTTTATTTTACACTACAAATGTAAAATTACAACACTAATATTGATGGCTGTCTTGATTTCAGATGTTAAAGCATTGATCAGCACTTCTTATTACACCTTTATGAAGATGTTTAGCCCATGTTTTGTTCCCAAACGCATGTTAAAGCGACTCCGAGAGCTGGAGTTCATGTGCATGGTTTACTGTGAGACGCTGAAACATCACGAGCTGCTGGTGTGTAAATGAACACAGTGCCACGCTTCACTCTGAAACACACAGCTCAGATGCTGAACTAAATCACAGCCTTTGTGATTTGATAATCGCCACATAAAGCCATTTCTGGCTTTGGGGTTTAAGTTAATCATGCAGCACAAATCACTCTAAACAGACACTTCAAAACTCCACATAAACATGCACTCATGTTCACACAGTCACACAACACGTCAACACTAGCGGTGTTTTATCATCTCAGCTGACTGAGTGTTTGTGCTTCTTGACAGTAAACAACACTCGCTGGGGTGTTTGTGTCTGATGATATTCACTCATTTATAACTGAGTGTGTGTGCGTGTGTGAGTGTAAATATCTGTGTTTTTGTGTGCTAGTGTGTTTGTGCATATATGATTTTGTGTTTGTGTGTATGTGAGTGCGTGTGATTGTGTGTATATATGTGTGTGTCTGTGTGTGAGTGTGTAAATGTGTTTGTGCATATATGATTTTGTGTTTGTGTTTCTATGTGTATAGTCTCTTGTGAAAGTGTGTATATGAGTATGTGTGCGTGTGTGTAATCCGCTCACACTCATTGTGCTGACTCTGGGTCAGGTTTCGCTCTGACAGATGGTGGTTTAGAGGTTCAGTGACCCGTGTGCTGATCATCACATCTGACCGCAGCTAGTGATGCTTTACTTTACAAGGTTTAGTTCTACTGTAAGTGTCGAGGCTCCACCCACATCACTGTAATCAATGAGCGATCTGGGTTATTAATATCTGACTGTGTTGTCGACTCTCACGTGTCAATCAATAAGAACAAATGCCTTCAGTCTCTAAAGATTCTCAGATGACAATAGGAGTGTTTCTGTAAGGTCTCATGAGTGTGAGAGAGAGAGAGAGAGAGAGTGAGTGTGAGAGTGTGAGAGAGTGTG